TAAATTAAAACTGCTTAAATAGTGATGACAAACACGTAGCGTAGAGGCTATATATTACTGCGGGCATATCACATTACCTGGTCAACGTCTTTTAATTTCAGATATTCACGTAGAATAATTATTCGGTAATTTCTATAGATGCTACAAATAACCCGAATCCTATGCTATATATATATCCATATATATCCATATATATATATATTGATGTTTAAAGATAACACATTTAATAATAATATTCATATTTAAAAATTCAAATGTCATGATGTAATCGATCCCATGATGCACTTGGTTTCCTTCATGCTGCCCGCGCCGCTCAGGGTGAAAACTCAGGGTCGGGAAAAAATTGTACGAGCAGAATAAAATAAGTCGCGAAGAGGCCGAAAATCTGGAAAAAAAGATATAGTGACAGCATATAATATGATGCTCTATAGCAATACTAACACGTTCATAAAATAACGTGCTGTTAGAAAAACAACAACCGATAACCTGATAACTTCATTTAATCTTAATTGTTTCAATATTTGATCAACTTGTCTCTTTCCGTCTTCGATATAGTCCTTTCGACTTTGAGAATATTTACAAAGGTTACGATGTTACGCATAACATATGAATAACTTCAACGCGTTCGATTGTAAACATATGAAAATGTCCGCCTTCTTGTGATGACGTCATAAAATAATCCGTTCATACCGTTAAGAATAAACCCCTGTTGATAGTGAAGCAGTTGCACACCGTCAGGCCGATACTGGGCCCCATCACGGACAACTTTGTGCTGTACATGTGCATCTGAAAGGCAACATCCATAATAATAAATGAATCAACATCCATATGCATAATGAAGCCTGTTTATGAGTGTGAACTTTGCTTTCGTCACGTGCCATCATGAAAGGATGCTAGCTATTAAGATTAGTTTCTTTGTTTTTGCCATTCCATATTGAAATTCTATTCCTTCCTCTTTAGTTACTTGCACATTTGAAGCCTTTTCTACTGCGGTTCGCATGCAGTGTTAATCTGTCTATTTGATCAACTTCGTCTTCGATATATTCCCTTTGATTTTGAAGACTGATCATTATGAGGTTATGAGGTTATGGTATGAAAATCTCAAGGGAATATTGCAACATATAGCAATGGTAACAAATGGTATTTCAGTATAATATCAGTCCCAGAAAAACATGTAATATTGCCACGCGATGTACGATTCACGGTACGTAAATAATCACGAATGATGAAAGCTTACCTCCAATTTTTCCTCATTTGACTCCGCAAGCAAAACCACATCATTTAGAACAGGTAACGGACTGTGTGCCTAAACAAATAACAATCGTTGTGTGTAGAACGGCAACATACTAACAATGATGGCGTCAGCATGACTATAATAAATATGTCTAATAATATAATAATATAATATTTATATATACATCATAATATATATATATAATAATGTCTATAAGACGGACGTTGACATCACAAGATCGGTAACTTGCGACCACCATGAAAACAACCTATGCCGAATAACAACGCAATCCTTGTGTGTGTGTTTTCACGCATGAATGACTCAATGACGCTGCATGGATGAATTAAACTCACTGTTATAGTAATATTTCTCAGATTTT